TTAAAATGCCTTCAAACCTCACAAAGTTAGGTGAAATTAACTGCAATGGCAATTCATATAAATCCTAATTTTTCAAAAAATGTACTTCATTATATATATATATATATATATATATATATATATATCTTACGCTTGAAAGGGCTAAATTGTGCAAATGTTTTACCGTTAGAAATCATCTCAAACTCAGAAAATTTAGATCAGGGGAGGGATTGAGTGGAATTGGAGATTGCATACAGTCAGCAAAATGTTGACTTTGGAATCAGGTTTGATATTAGATCACATGTTATTTATCGACTTTTGCTAACTTTGTTAACTGAGTTCATTAGTTTGCTATCCTAATTTTTATATCATCCACCACAAAATACACACACACACATTTTCCTTCTATTTGTCAAAATACTAGCTGAGCTGTAAAGAGTTCAGTTGATTTCAGCACAACAGATCTCCCACACACACGAGAAATAAGTTCAAATGTTCTTAACATGTTTCCCTTCTATGCACGTCTAAAAATACTTTCAATTCATTCACCGACAAAACCAACTTAGTAAAATGCAAGTTACGTGAGATTAAGAGAACAGAGGACTATTGAAGTAGTTACAGTAATGGATTTTTTGCCTTCCAAACTACCCAACAGTTCATTAGCACCAGATTTCATTGGGAAGAGCTCACAGCAAGGAAGGACACAGGAATGAGACTATTGTCAGCCTGAGTACTAAGCGAAAATAGAGGGGCTTTTTTGTCAAAGTTGCCAATTTCATTTTGTCGGGGTGGCGTTCCTTAACCGTGATTAAACAATGAGGTTTAATTTAATGTGTTCTGGAAAAATAAGAACAGTGATTCTTAATCCTCTTTTTTGTCTCGACAACAAAGGATCAATTTTCAAAAGTTTCATTGCACATTTTAGGGTAATTTTTTTCGATTTAGTCATTACGAAACCGACATCTAATCTTTGTTTTTCTAGACACAACGCCTTGGCAACTTTGTGGAGCGTTCGACGCTACCAAGGTTGAACAAAGAAATCGCCTACGCACTTTAAAAGTTTGTAAGGTGCAGCCGACCAGCAATCAATAGTCGTTCAACCAATTGTATTTAAATGTGCTGTAATGAACGAAATAGTACCTTCAATACGCTCTCCAGCCTCGATACTGTTGAGGTGGCTTAGCCAATATTTTAAACAATTTGATTTAATCGGATTTTGTTAGAGAAGATTCCTTTTACTCATTTGAGTCCCCTTTCCTAATTTGAGGTAGTAAAGATCATAAATAAAATGGAAAAGTTTACTGTTTTATTGAAGCTTTTAAACTACAGCCCTCTTCTCACACATATATTGGACTTTTAACAGACATTGATTCCAATACGAATGGAAGTACTGTGTCTTTAAATATCGATTTTTCAATGAGATAAATTGCAATTGGCGCTAATAAAAATAGTGGAATTCACCTTAATAATGTTGGCATTGTTAAGTTTTTAATGCCCACATATGCAGTTGCCTTGTTTATTCCCTCATGATAGTATCGACTTGTCTGTGATTTTGTGCGTACTCTGAATACTGACCACATACACGTTCTTTTACCTTAAATTTTGCAGCCTTGTAAAACTCCTCCTATTGATCCGTATATCATTTATACCACAATGAGCCCTTAACAATGCCAATTCTTGATGGTAAATTTTACATTTCAATAAAATTCAATTTAGAAATGACCTCTAATTGAATGCGTCGAGTTTGCTCTAAAGAGCTATTCGATAAGTGGCTTAAAACCGCCCAATGCTCCCAACCCCAATCAGCAGGAATGAAATAGCGAGATGACATTTATTTCCATTCACAGCTAATCATGTGTGACAAATTTGACGATCTAGGCTAACGCCAAACTACAATTCTTCCTCTGAAACACCCTGTTATCGAGCTGCGCACTTGACGATGAGCCTTTGAAATTTAAATCCCGTAAGTATTTAAGTTGTCTTTCTTTTTAATAACGGGCGGTAGAATCAATGTTATCTGGAAATCCGTATTTTCAGACAGGAATTAGCATTTATTTATATTAAATGGCAGGTATTTTGATAGTTTCATTAGCCCTTTAGGTGACTTCAGGCCTCACAGAGAAGAAGAAATATCAAACTGTGAAAATTTGAGATGGGGAGAGACAGAAGAGTGTTTCAAAGATGTAAAAGAGGCAGACAAAAAGGTAGAAAAAAGGTGGGGTGAGTACTGTGAAAGTCGTCGAATGTGACATATAGTGCGTGATGGTAATTTGAAGTCAGAAGTCAACTGCCAGTTAATAGACATTTTTGCCGTATGAGCATACGTTGCCCAGGGTACACCACGTGGAGGTAAGTCTATCGTACGTTGCCCAGGGTACACCACGTGGAGGTAAGTCTATCGTACACCCCAAGAATTAGCATTAGAACGAGACTGGCAAAATATAGACCTCGACATTCGTCCGGTCTCATGTTACTTTATATAATTAAATTAAATAATTAAGCTGAAATAGTCAAGAAAATACTTAAATTCTCTTTACTTATCACCAATTATCTAGATCCACACTTGACAGAAAAAAATTTGATACCCTCATTAAAATCGTAAATACAGTCCAATGATCAAAAATTTTAATGTTATGAGAAACTGCACTACTTAGGTATTCTCTACCACGGTGATACAGCGGTTAAAATTCTCGTTTGGCAATTCAAATGTCACCGGACCTACATTCAATGAGCCCAATAGTTGACCCAAATTTTTATTTCTTTTTGCTGAAATAGAAGTGAACTAATTTGAGACCCGTCATTGGGAAGGCTCTATGTTGTCATCTCTACCTGAAAAAGGGCCTATCGATTGTCGAAAACTATTATTTGTGCTCTATATATACAAATCTTGCCCCAAGTGCGCAATTTGAGAAGGTATGTGATTTTGAGAATGTACTAATGAAATTCTCTACGTTTTTTTGTTGTATAGTTCAGTTCAGTTAAGGTCTTTTACACCAATCATACCAGTGATTTAAGTTTCCTTTTAGTAGTACAAGAACATACAATAATGACCTCAATTTACGTTTGCAACAGGTGAAGAGTTTAAACAACGCAACTGAAATTCAGCATTTAGCTTTTGTGTTCGGGTTATTAATTTTGCTCTCATTAAAAAACTCAAAAAAATTCCACTGATTTTAAATTGTTTGCATAATATTTTAATGTGAAATCAGTGCCTCTTTGCTAACTTCGTACAATGATTATATGTTTGATCAGATACGCATAATCTTGCTTGGTGTTTAGTGAAAGCTACTCGTGAATTTGGATCCTGCGATGAACTGCTTGCCAAGGGTCAATTTTGCTATATCTCACTATCGGGGCAGTATTTATTGCTACACAATATCAATTCTTAATCATTTTACTCTTAAGAATCCCACTTCGCCCGAAAGTGCTTGTCGATCTACATCTTCAAGCACAGGTGAGAGATCACCTCCCTCTCCCTCCCCTCCCCCTCCCTCCCCCCCCCCATTCCTGTTTATCTGAGCTCGGGATCAACCAAATTCAATTTGTCCTCTAACACCTCTTTCTTAGCCACATAAGTGAAAGTGGGAGAATTCCCCACCCTCCGTTTTGGAATGTGGTGAGGTAAGCTTTAAATGCTTCACCGACAGAAAAATAAAGTTCTTATTTGGCATGAAATTACCCCCCCCCAATCTTTTGTCCTACTGGGTGTGTACTTTAATACAATAATTTTCAAAATCAAATTAAAGAGAGGCTATTTCGATTTTCTTTATCTAAAGAGCAAGAAATCGCACTATAAAGTGAAAAAAAGTATAATAATTTTTAATAGTAACAATTTAACCTTGCTGACATTCACCCATTAGTGCCCTCGAGCTTGATAGCCGTACATCCTGTTGTCAAATTCTATTCATCGACACAACCCTTAAATGAAGCGAGTTATTATTATTGATTTTTATATTGCAGGTGAATTTTAAACAGTGCAGGGCTAATGATAAATATCATAAAGCCTGCCATTTGAAATAAATTTTAAACAGTGCTTTAGATTTTATTGATAACATAGAAACACGATTAAAATGTCAGATCATGAGGAGGGGGAGGAGACGTATTTGTGCTTTTTTGGTTGAATGCATCCGGATCATAGTTGATCACCAAAAGGCCCTAATTTGGGTCTATTTGGGAGGTTTTCACAATTAATGAAATTACAAGAGTCATTGAATGTTTACCTAACTGAATATTATAACGAGTTTATTGTTATAAGTTCCCAATTTATCCCTACAGGATGGACTGATACCCGGTCAGCCAACAATGTTGCAACAAGGCTGAGTCATTTCCATGTACGAGCATGGGAGAATAATGATCAATGAATGAAGTGTGTGTCGGTGGTCCAAATAGTTTTGGTAGTTCTGGAACTAAACCACCAATTTACGTTCCAAGAACTTGTATGAGTATTCATCCTTAACTCCAATAATGCAGGAAGCAAGACTATATTACAGCGAATCCGAAGTCGAATTTACCAAAGACAAGAGTCATCAGCCTAATTCGAAAATATCCCCCCCCCCATAAAACAGAAAGGTAACTTTGAACTAGCCAAACCAAGTTATTAAATCTACTCAAATTCAATCCAATTCTATGTCCACGCTGAATTGAATTTATATATAAAAGAGGGGAGGACGTCTGTCCCCCACCAACTACCCTAAATCCACTGCCTTCCCACCTTTTTGGAGTTCACTTGAGTCGCTAGAACCACCGATTCTGCGACTGCAAATAAATCCAGAATAGAAATATTATAGTCCGCCTTGAGCACGTAGAAGAATAAAACTCGTCTGGAGGGATTTAAAAAAGGCAACGACTCTTTTCATAATCCTTCAGCAAAACTTGAAAGATAGCAAAGGAAGCAGCAGATTCTAACAAAACCAGCACGAGAGCTTAAGAGGAGAAGTGCTAGGATAATGAGTGGAATGGAATGTTTGAGAGTATACTAAATGTGGGAAAGCAGTAATAACGAGGAGAATCAGTACTCGCTATTAACTACTCATGGCCTTGAGTAGAGTGAGCAAATCATTCGTAAGCCGCAATGAACGGATGGTGGTGAAATCGCTCGCTCTGTTTGAATTGGCTGCGCTGTATTCAACTCCTTTCAAGGCCTCCAACAAGTCATCCAGTCTGTAGGGCGGAGACATACAATCGGTGTTACGAATCACCTTATCCATGCAGAAAAGAAACTCCGGCAGATTCTACAAAATCGGTAAATATTTACAAATACTTCTTGTAATAGGTGATCGGTAAGAGATATTTTTTGCAAAAAAATAGGGACAAAGCAAAATTTTTTATTACACTGTTAACCACGAACGGAGGGAGCAACAGCCATGCTCTGTTACCAAAATATCAATCGATAGTGGTCTCTGCGTGCTAGCTTCAACAAACTAAAAAGGTCATTAATTACTGGCACATTATGAAATTCAACCATAAAGACCAAACGATTTGGTTTTATAAACTTATACGTATTATAAGCACAACTCTAGGTTCCCGATATGATCAAAATAAATCTTTCTAAGGCATATTCCCTTCCCCGTTAAAGAGAGCATAACTATGAATTTTGAGGCAGATTAGCTGTTTAATCGGCTAATCATGAAGAAGTGGCGATATTTCATTCTCGGGCATGTGTTGGGAAAGCGACTTTAATTCACACAATATGAATAGTGATTAAGAAATCAATAACGCTCTACTCTGCTCCCCCCCCCCATATCACTTCCCCCATTTCGTGGTGGCTTGGCTTGATTAGAGCTGAGGATTTATTATCGCCTCTAAGCTTCATGCAGTTAGGAGGAAATTGCGTGAACTAATAACTGATTTTTCTCTCATAGAGTGTCTCCGCTTACCCATCACATGTCATGTTTTGTCATAGTAAGCGTGCACTGCTTCTGAGTGCAGCTAGCTACCATTACCACATTAAAGTTTTCCTATTGGCTCAGTCGGAGCCAATGGACTACATCTTGGCACAACAGTGATAGATGGGACGCCCAAATAAATTAAGCACTTAGGTCGATCTTAACATGCCTATAGTTAATATAATTTATAAACGTTTATATATTCAAAATCTAAAAATATCATACACAAGACCACCTCCATGCGATAGATAAACAAAGGAACTAGAATTCATCAAATTAGTTTACGTCAAAACTATCGCATATAAGCAAACACTTTTGAGACATAGTTTATCAATTTAGCATCATAGACTAGAAGGCTCAAAATTTATTGATTTGTTATTTTTGGACTTCGAACTCATAGGCTCCAAGGGAGAGATTTTGTAAAGCAAATGTGCATTATTCGCATACGCTGACTAATTAATCTGTTATCTCTGTTTCTGATTGGTTACCTACCTTACAACCAGCCAATGACTCAGAAAATAAAACAGTCAGCGATTCAAAGTGTAAGTAATCTCGACTATCTACCACAAACTAGATTGGTCTCACTCTTTGTAACCAATTCCACTTCTTAGCGTCTCTTTCATTTCTTCATTCTCTTCTCATTCTCTTGTAACGTATTCGACTACGAAATCAGAGGCGATGGGGTCAGTGTTAAGTGATCAAAATTTTTAATTTCGCTGCTCAGGTCTACTCAGTGGCATTAAAGAAGGGACAAAATCCGGGTTTCCCCATAAGGTGTCTACAAGACGCTACTCATTCAATCAAGATAAACGTTGAGAAACGTCTTCCTAAAGGGGATTGGGATAGTATTTCTAATTGTTTCACCTTTCAATAAAAGCACCACGCAACCGCGTATCTAATGCCCTAACGATTTTCTGACAATAGTATTTTAACGGATCCCTTTAGGTGCATATTCTGGAGGGGGGGGGGGGGGGGGGAAGGGGGAACATAAAGCCTGAAAAGGCTTAATTACATAAAATGCGCATCAATGGCCCTCAAAATAATTCCATTTGAAATTGGAACATGAGTGAAAACTTTGGGCAAGAAATTGAGAAGTTCCTCAAAATCTCAGGACTGCCATTAGCCTATATTACGCCTTCAATCAATACATCCGTATATTGCGGCCTTTCTGTGCCAAGTGTTCTCTCTGGGATTAAACAGCGTCAAACAGCACAAAGAGCGAGATCAACCGATTAAAACTCACAGGTGAAGTTGCGGGCAGGTCGCAAATCTGGCGAATTATAACATCAATTACGACTTTGACGTCGTTGCGATAGACAAGGGATGCAGTTTCACGAGTGGAGAAAATGTCTGACAGTAGTTTACGCGCAGAATTCACTGGTGTATCGGGTGCATTCTGAAGAATAACATCAGCCAAGCTGGGACGATGCTGGGATGGAATTTTTGGACAATCCTCGCCACTGACCTCCCCGTTCTCATTATCAACATATTGTCCAGTAGAAGAGAAATGACGCGATCTGTCAAATAGACCATTGTCCGATTGACCATTTCCATCCTGGTAAAGAAGAGAACCATTGTAATGATCTGAGGAGAGATCAAAACTTTCTCCCAGAGTCCCACGCATCTTTCTCACGAAAGACACACCGTCCAAGCTCAATGGATCAGCTAAAGTTTGGAGATAATTAGAATGTATTAAATAAGGGAATTGAGGTTAACTTACAATGCTCCATTGTGAGAAGCATTCCAAAATGAACGGCATTAATTTTAATAAATGAGGAACCAATATAGTAGAGGCAGGCTTGAATTGATTTCAAGGTCCCAAATTCGACTACTTGCCTCCTGCACTGTCAACGATGTCTACTTGAACTATCTCAGCATTCCCATGTTTTAAATCACGCAAGGTACTTCATATCGTGTAAATTGAAATTCTTTAAAATAATGAATTTCTGTGGCAAGACCGACCAATCAATAATTAAAAAAAGCTGCCATTAAGCACCGAGCATCGTGGGCAAGAACTGAACTCAGCAATATGAGCATCACAACGAAACGATACTGGAATTTCAGAGCTCGAACTACCAATAAGTAAATACGCCACAATCCAAAAGGCAAATTCTACTTAACTAAGGCACTTCTGATGGCTTCTTCAGCCTGCTTCCACCTACTTTGCATCGGATTCACTGCTAACCCACCTCAGCAGCTTTGTCTCAATAATTGCTTTAGACTTTTTTAGCACTAACTGTGAGTAATCAGAAAGGGAGTTTTTCAAGGCAAGCAATGAAGAGGCAATACTAACCATCACGATTGAATATGAAAAGAAGACGTTCAATTAGATCCTTGGTGGCCACGTGATTGGCAAGCATGGTGTTGAGTACGGGAGTGAGACTTGTTGAGGAGAGGCAGAAGTGGCGATTAGCGGCGCAGACGAACTGTAGGAAGGTGTCGAGAAGGAGGGGTGAGGCTCTTGATGCGGAATCACCGTTATCGCCTGCTGATTGTGTCGCATTATTGGTGGAGAATTTTTCAACCGACATGAATTTTGAAACTCGCGTAAATACAGCGTCAAAGAAGGACTCGAACAATTCATCTGGGAATCAAGGAGTACGAGTTTATATAAAACTTGAGCAAGCAGTACTGGCAGAATGGTAAGAGTTGAGAGGGCACTATAAAACAACAACCTATTCCATGTTCTTCACATCGACCTGACACCACTTAGGCTTTTTCCAATAATTGTAAGAGCGAACGCGTTTGCCTTCCTTTGTTAATGGAGGCATTTCGTTAATTATTCATCTACAAACTTGCAACATAATGGAAACAGCGATTCAGCGACGGAATGAATTATTTCATGGTTCTAGGTCAGGAGCTTAATTTTAATAAAAGCGTATTTTACACCAGGAAGTACTTATCGTCTGTAGTCTCACTGATCTAAAAAGAGAATTCACATTCTATTACAAACAAGCCAAGGGGGGGACATTAATTAACAGCTGGCAAGCTCAGGTACTAAGGAATTCTAGAGCTCAGAAAGCTACTCTCTAGTATTCAATATTCATGATTGTGATTTGGACATAATTGGTAACACCCGGATTTAGATCCCGCTCTGCAATTGACACAATGCCCATGTGACACAGTGGATAGTGCGCACGGCTACGAAGGCAGAGTTCATGGTTAATAAGGGAGTGATAAATTTCGTTCTTCTCGTGCAGAAGGCTCCATGGTGCCAGTTCTCTTCTTAATCAGAGAGCTGTGCTAGTTTTTCTAAACGAGCTTGAACATTTTACCCCAACTGATCTTTTCAGCATCAAGTTTAGATGGCTTTCAATCCATTTCCTTACTATTCTATCTGGGAATTTTATGTAATTACAGGTAAAAATCCCAAAATGTCCACAAAAAAATTGTAATAGCAAAATCAATCTAATTCTCCTCTGACCTACAAATCAATGAAGACATTCAAAGCATTTTCGAAATTTGGATGAATTTATCGTCAAACAGTTAGCAAATAATTGAACCTGTTTCATCTAATTTGAGAACGACCCGATTCGCTTGGAAAAAATGTAGTTTTATAGCTTCTGGTCTTTGAAGAAGGAACTTATATGTATTTCCTCTGCGATGATGTCAGCCAGTTCTTTTCTGAACCCATTCCTATATATTTATCCAATCAATGATAAACAAAAGTGAGCCTCTCCTGGATCAGTGTGAAAATCATTGATTTGTAACACAGGATTATTAGGGCACAATTCTGGTAGGAATCTTCTGTTTGGTCTGGATAAATGTTCAAGAAACCTTCACATTGCCGCTCCATCGATTTTTTTTTCCTACTTTTGCTTCATAATCGATTCACTAAAATGACGTAATTTCAACTAACGATATCAAAATTTTTAACAATACAATTGTAATGAAAGAAATGCAAAGTAAGCCACTGCTTTGGAATAAACATTTTCATAATCAAACATTATTTACAATATAAAAGGCAAAAAAATTCATAATTTTATGTTAATATTGTTGAGGAAACAATATTCAGTGATTCGCATATTTCCATTTTCTGCTTGACAAAGATTTATTAATTTATGTTGTTCTCGTAGGAGGATAGGAAAACACAGAATAGTTTATTATATTTCAAAATTAGTATTGAATGGGCAAATTTATCTGTAAGTGTTAGAATTAATTTAAAAGTAAGTAAAGAAACATTTTAATGCAAATGATGGACTTTTCAAAAAAAACATGAAATTTAACCGAATATTCTGCAGAATCAGGGCAAATAAAAACAATGCGTAAAAAGGCTTTATAAACCCACAATAAGTTAGGCTTACTTTGAATACTCAAAGGAAGACTATTGGCTTTGGTAAAAAGGATTGTCAGCATTCGCAAATCGAGAATAAAGTCCAATTCAGCTATAAGTGAAGAGCAAATGAATTATTCCAAGCGTATGATAAATATGGACCTTCTTTGCTTTCCAATAATTGAAATTGACAAAGGGTTGGAATGCTTACCCAGGTCAGAAGATCCGATTTCACGAATTATTTCCATTGGAATGCAGGAGTCGAGAAAGACATTCCAGATCCGTGGTTGAATATGGCAAATTGCTACGACGATCAGAAGATAGAAACGTCTAACAATGGATCGTCTTTCCCTTTGGTAGAGATAACTCAGTGCAAGAGGAAAATCATCCTCGGTTACACATCTGCATACCATATCAGGGTCCATATTGCACTAAAAAGTATAATTTGGATAATAACCAAAATCAACGGAAAGAATAAGTGATAATCCGATAATATTACGTACAAGAAGATCCACTAATGAATCCAGGTCACTAATAACCGAGGAATCATCTTCGGCTAAAGGCCAACTGCTTTCTTGTTGGTCTTTGGCTCGCGTTTCGAGATTAGTAACATGACTTTGAAGAGCCTTCCAGTCATCGGTTCGAGTGTAAACAGCCCTTCTTACAGTAGGATTATTATCCTAAATTTGACAAATACGATGGGAACAAGACTCAGCTTACCAAGATCTCATTAATAAGTTCCTTGGATAGAGTGGCCAATTGCGGGTCCGAATTAGCTAAAACATTCAGCATCTTTTCGAATGAAATAACACATCGTAAGTAACTAGTCCGAGTAGTGCTTCGAAGTTTATCTAACATCAAGTAAGCAGTTCCAGGAGTACGTTTACATGGCAGCGGTGGAGGTGGAAATTTTTTTCGTTCAGGAAGATAGTGTTGCCCTTGAGGTCGTGCATTTGGACGCAGAGGAAATCGAGGAAGTTTATTTTTTCCAAAACCTTTAAGAGTTCCGTCGCGCAAACGTCCCAGATAACTAGAAATATGTAATTATATTAACATAAATAAATTACTTCAGGATTACATCTTTCTCAAATATGTCCTCTGGCGATATTGCGCCAAGAGCGGCATCGATTATACTGACGACTTCTGCAGGCGATTTTATCTACAAAATTATAAAAAAGAAATAGCACTACATTCGATTCCTCGACGTAATTGGTTGGAATAGAACCAAGCCTTCCATCTTCATGGAATACATAATACCAATGGTCATTCTCCTTCCGAAGTACAAGAAATTGATCATTGGCAGCAAAAGAAATAGACTGGGGATATTTTGCGGTAAAATCAAAGCGGGCCACAAACATCAAGAAAACGAATAGTGGAAATACTCCTGTGCTGAGTGGTTAATATATTGCTCAAAGACAAAATGTTCCCCAATCTAATTGGCTAAATGAAAACGAGTTAAAAAAGACACTAAAACTATCTAAATTCTAAGTTCATGTTATTGGAAAATTAGAACAAAAGATTTTGCAGTTTCAGATATTTTATTTAAATCCACAAAATCTTAGTATTTTCATCATGAAACAACATATATTACAAAATTGAAATTGTACATCATAAATTATACAACCAACTGATGTCTTCGTTTTCAATAAATTATTACGAATTGGTGGCATATTTGAATAAAAATTATCAGCTTTCACATAACTTATCTTGTTTTATAGAAAAAAATAAATAGAAGATTTGGGAAGTGAGAATTAAATAATCAAATAAATATTCTTTAAAAACACTTTTGTGAACATTTCGAAATAAAAAATTACAATAAAATAATCATTTCAACTTAAATCTAATTTGTAGAATTTAATACTTTTCCATGTTGCAAAAGTTTCTAGATATTCTATTTCATAACGGGCCGTTAATTATTACGCATGATCAATTTACTGTGTATGGTTCTAAGAAGAATTCTTTCGAACGAATATTGTAAATTGACACAAAAAATATAAATCGGCCATAAGTCAAATATGCAACATTATTTCCCTTGTTAATATAGGTATTTTATCATCCTAACCTCTGTGGAGTATACAACTCTATCAAGGCACAACCTAAATATACTGGCCCGTGCAGTCGTGGGTGTAGTGCCCTTCTAAGCTAACCACTTACTAATATTTAGTCAAAGTCTCCTAAAAGCTATTCATGTACTGACCATGTATGCATTTGGTCAAAGTGTGTAACAAACTTTATTCACTTCACAAATTCCATTGAACTAGGGCGACATTTTATGCTAGAGCCTTTGGCCGGAAGGGTCAAACTCAGGCTACTTGCGTAGTCACCACTACATGACTCTTTAGTTATCTCAAAAATGGACTAAAGTGCTGATAATAATGAGGTCATGAATTCGAATTTGCTGCGCTATAGTAGTGCACACTGAATACCACATGAAATTTTTGAAATCAACATCTTCGGTAATAGATAAGATATGGTTTTGTTATTTTCGAAATATTGCATTACCAGGTTAAACCAAAAATACGTATTACTCAATCATTCCAAATTAAAATTCATGCTATTATCAAAACACCACCTCCAATTCATAATCACTAATAGGATCTGTTTGGAAAAAACGGTCAATTTTACCACTCAGGAATGACACAATGGTGAAACAGGAGCACACAGTGTAATCAGAATGTTCAGAGTGCTACTTTGCTGAGCTACCCATTCTCTCATCAGGTCAATCATCTAGTTTTCAATATATCAACATACTAGTACTCACTAATTCCTATTTGACCCCCCCCCCCCCAACACCCATTCTTCTCAACTTCCAAGTCCTCTCATGTCAGTGATAACCAGAGCTATCCTGTCGGTCTATTTCATTGAAAGGTTGGTCATCCCGATTTGATTCATTGTCTTCCTCCTGCACTCAAAAGCAATAAGATTAGACTACTCAGGTATTCGCCTACTAACCCACTCTACTTTTCAAACTTTTAAGTCCACCTCCCCCTCCCCCACCCCCCTCCACACTCGGGAAAAATTAAGAGAGACGAGGACTGAGATAACAATTTCGCGTTTAATAGTACTCTGGCATTGGACTCTCATCACAACTGTGACATTACTTAATTGAGCACAACTCAATATAGCCTAACAAATTACCCAAACCAATCATTCCACAAAATGCACTCATAGTCAGAAACTAAACAAATTGCATTCAAATTCCACTGAATTCGAGTTCTACCACATCACATAGTGAAATCAACACCCTAGCGAATCCACACCTACGATGAAGCAGCTTACTTCTAACAGTCTCACTCTCTCTACATCAATTCCAACCTCAACTTATCAAGCACCACCCCTTCTCCCACTCCACGCTCACATCACCAACTCCACCACCTTTCCAATTAACACTCTTCCACTTCAACACATGGAATACTTGAGTCTCGGACTTTATCAATGAACAATAATATACAGCATTCCGACTACCTCATTAGACCGAAAATAAACACGAGATCTACACCAATGCCCCCAATTCCTACGCAATCGTGAAGTTCTCATCTACCAAATGCCAACTCAATTTCAAGACTGCCAAGCCATTAGCAACCCACTTTGGCCTGACACGCAGGTCAACAAAACAGTGTATGTAAGTCATTCTCCAAGCACAAGTTCAACTATTACGTTTTCAATACTCCAGACCCCATTAACTTTAACAAAGTTTACAATAAACGGACAGGACCAAGGCAAACGAAACTAAATTCGACGTAGGATGACAAACCATATCTTTCAAAATAACAGTCTTCCTACAAATGTCAGTTCCACAATTAAGAGTAACACATTTCCGCATAAATCACAGCCTACAAAATATAAAACCACGATTCAAAAACTCCACGACAGATTCAACACGAATTACCCATCGCGGTAGTGATCTAATACAGAACATACCCCGCCAACAACTCCGAAAACATTTCGACAACTCTCACTTTATAACACAACCCACTTCAGATCCAAAATAAAGAAAAGGTAATAAAATCGCACAATTTGAACGATTGCTCTTTTTCTCCAATAAAACAAACACAATCTTATACAGCAACAACAAACTGATGAAACAGAGCACAAAACCTAGTAGTAAGCAAGACACGACTTCTGATTAAATATACACTACACACAAATTTACACCTTGTAAGTACTTGTATCAAGATCCTGACCCTTGGGGAGATTCTTCTGTTGATCCACGGTTTGGTAAAGGAGGGATTCGGGATAGTTAAGGACTTCTTTCACACGTTTGCCTATCCTGATCTGAGCATCTTTGTTGTTCCAATTTGATGTCCACAAACTGATGCGAGACCCACGAGCTCTGGGTTGGAAAACAACACCGCATATTTCATTCGAATCCTCCTCTGTCTTCCAGGAGTTTCCAACAATCAGCATCAAGAGCTCTTCCCAGTAACTGTGAGAGTAAATAGCATCTATATCTACTTAAACACAATATACCGCGAAACCACGCACCACTAGCTTACAAGTTAACATCCGCGTTGGGGAGAACCTGGATCAACCAGCGACCTCCATTTTCATTCATTGGATCTTCCCACATGGGTTTAATACCTCTCTTAAATACATAGAGATCGGTGCCGTTAGGAATATCAGCTGGTGCTAGAGTGTGGAACATGGTACTCCAAAAATCCTCAACCGTGTTGAAATCAGTAACTTTTTGCATACGTTGAGTCCAATCAGTGCCAATGTTGTAATTGAATACAAAGAAATCCCATCTGAGAAAGACGATGCGATTACATATTTAGATAATCATCACATATTATACCTTTCACATGCATTAACAAATTGAAAGAAAAACACGAATTTCACATAAAATAACAATAATAACTATGGCATTAAAAATTCATTAACACACGTGTCTTGGAGGTAATGGACTGCCGAATCACCTTCGCCTTTACCATCGTTCGCCATTTCGACACGATTAACCCTAACAAGTAAGTCAACGATCACAGTTTTCTTAAGGACTTACTCAAACAAATCCTCACATGGTAAAGTTTATGCACAAGGGATTCATTATTTCGACATTTTATCAGTTTCATTTTGTTCAATATTTGAAGCTTTATTGATCAAATACATTTCATTTAATTGTATTTTTTATTAACTATATTTCGTAACATATTGCTTTCATCCATTAATTATTCTTAGTAAACACTCAATCTTTAGGTTTTCAATAATTATCAATTCATTTTGAAATTATATAAAAAAATAAAGATAAATACTTCAGCATTGAATTTCAATGATACAGAGGAATTTCGCCCTACAAAGACTTTTGGAAAATTTGAACTAATAAAAACAATAATTAACTAATTTTTCGACGCTACTTGAGTCGCTTGAGCCATTGATACTTCAACTGTAAATAAAATTAAGAATAAAATTTCCTTGCGCAATTTTGAACATATAGAATAAAATGACTCCTCTCAACAGATTTTATAAAGTAACGACACTGGATAAGTGTGTAAATCACTGATTTGTAACACAGGATTATTAGGGCACAATTCTGGTAGGAATCTTCTGTTTGGTCTGGATAAATGTTCAAGAAACCTTCACGTTGCCGCTCCATTAACCTCATAGAGTTTTCTTATTGCTTATTCACGATTTTCTCTGGGTTTGCGGGCATCTCCTGTCTCATTTTATACTAATTTTAAGGTTCTCTTTATAACCGATTTTCTAAAATGATGTAATTTCAACTAGCGATATCAGCATTTCTGCAATACAATTGTAATGAAAGAAATGCAAAGTGATCCACTGCTTCGGAAAAAACATCTTCATAATGGAACATTATTTACAATATAAAAAGCAAGAAAATTCAAAGTAAACTTGTGATATCGTCGAAAAACTATTCTTTTGACCATCGAGGCTTCTGTTTAGTACATTACTCTATCAAGACAAATTCAACAGCCTCGCACGATTTGAACATACTAACGAGTGGTCTTTTGAGGGCTGTGGCCTTCTCAGCTATCCACCTATTAATATTCATTCAAAAATGCCTAATCATGCGTGTATTTTGTCAAAGTGTATAACCAATTTCTTCATTCCACACATTCCATTTAACTAGTCCGGGTAATTTCGGGACTTAAGTGTTACTTATTTAAAGGACAAGAATTCGAATTTGATGGGCTATATTAGTGCACACTCAATGACACATGACTTTTGTGAAATCAATCTCTTTGGTATTTGATAAGCTGTCGTATTATTTTTTCGAATTATTATATAATCTCATTTGTTTACCTATTTATTCAAAAAGTGCAACAGTAAAGCCGTATTTTGTTGCTCAATCAACTGTTCACCTATTGTAAATTTAATATATTTATACAGAATTCACCATATATTGAGGATTGTCTACTTAAATGACCACTACTAGCATCAATGCACTTTTCACTGGTCGTCTTACATATCCAGTTTTGAGCGTAGAGTTCAGAAATCATAAGTGCACTCTAGATGTGCCCCCTAATCTGAGCCGCTGGAAATATTCGATTCGGTTTCCTAACAGATAGTATGACTCAAGTGACTTTGTATATCATCACTTTACTCAGAAGTAGTTATGCCGGCCATGTGATGATGCTTCCTACTTTCAAGTTTTCTTACCTTTTTTATATGCCTTCATCGTTACTCATAGCGAACAATAAATTTATTCACTTTATGCAATCAGAATAGGGTATTTAAGATCTTGTATTGGACTTTTTAAGGGTCTCAGTAGGACTCTCATGCATACAATAATTAGATGTCAATGGTAGAGTCATAGATTTGATATTTGGTTGAACTCTAGTTTTATTATGCCTTGGTGAGTAATTGCGCAGATCCTGGCACTAATATGGAAAAAATACCATTATGAGCTTAACAATATTTACTCTTGAAAATTTACTTATTATACTTTGAAATTCATCTTCCATCCTTTCATCAGAGCAAATAATTTAACTATTATGCCAATAATATTCTGGTAGGAATCAATATGAGTTTGTCCTGCGGTGGATTGCAACATTAATAGTCCTCTATGGCAGTATCCCAGTGTTATCTAAGCTACTGCAAAGCTACAGGGGAAACAGACGCATGATGCGAAATACGTTTATTCGGGTGAGTTAGATTCTGGGTGTATATCGATCGTGTCCTGTCCATTGGGCTGTGGCCATCGACTGTCCGTTGAGGGTGTCTTTTGAGTTCTGTTTTTGTTCCTTGCTTAGTATGTTAAAGTAACCATGTAACGACTATTAACCGACAGTTGACTTCTGACTTCAAACTGCGATGACCCCACTCTGTCATATTCCACTACTTCCACAGTACTCACCTCAACTTTTTCTACCTTTTCTACCCTCGTCTTTGAAGCACTCTTCTGTTCCCCCCCCCCCTCTCTCTTGACTTTTTGTCACTTTGATGTTCCTCCTCCACACTATGAAGCCTGAAGTCAACTAAAGGGCTGATGATAACTGTCAAAACGCCTGCCATTTGAAATAAATAATTAAATAAATAAATGAATAAACTTTTGTTATTGATTGGTCATAGGGGTTTCTAAAACTGTAACCTCATTTGCTCCTAGGCTTGATGCGGTTCTATGCTTTTGCCATGTTAAATTTGTGTTCCCCACAACCCAAAGGAAAAGAATCCCATGCTTCATTAAATTAATTGTAATCTAACACTCTTTGCTAGTGTGAGTAGCTGTAAGCAAGTTTTGCAGTGGAAATTAAATTTATCTCCCATGTACCATATTTGGTTGTTTGCGATTTTATAGGGACCATTAAAGTGTACTTTATATTTAAAGCGATATTTTTACCAATTATTCTTAGAGGTACAGAGTAAGGAGACGCCCCATATTTTGTATATTCTCAGTCGTCAATCGTTCCGCTGTAATGTGGAGTGTTTTCACTTTTTCAAATGGGCAATTAGACTCTTTTAAATCAAACGAACACAATTCGGAGATGTGGGTCTAAATTGAGTGTAATCCAAATGTAAGTACTGACTTTCTTATTTTTTCTCATTATCAGTCTACCAATTCACTAAAAGGCACTTATTAAGATACTGGAACTGGTTCATTAAGGTTAAATTAATGTAAACACAATAACCACTTTTGTTATTTTCAGCCAACTTCAAAGGAGAATTACTAGAACTTTCTGTATTTAGGAGAACATTGTAGCAAGTTATCGCTGTGTTCGATTTAGTTGCAGGCCGATCTCATTTTGAAATGAAAGGTAGTTTTAACAATCATGATTATCGAATATAGTCACACGAGGTCACTGAAATATCATCAGGTTAACATGTTGACTTTTTGCCTATAACTAATTTGGATATATCGGATATATATATATATATATATATATATAACCATCACCCCCACTGTACGTCATATTCGACCCCTATCACAGTACTCATCTTACCCTTTCTGAGCCTTTAAGTCTGTCTGTTTCTTTTACATCTGTGAATCACTCTTCTATTCCCCCTCTCGAAATCTTCCCACTTTGATGTTCCCCCTCCCCTCTGTGAAGCCCGAAGTCAACTAAAGGGCTAATGATAACTATCAAAACGCCTGCCATTTGTTATAAATAAATATAATTTGAATATACCGAATTTCACAGAAGTAAATCATGCGCTAAGAAACTTAAGTCCACAATCAGGGTGAGAAATAAATGAGGGAATTAAAAGCGACGCTTGTAAATAAGAAGTAGTAAATGTAATGAAAAAATAACATTTGTAATCTCTTGTCATACACAAAGTCCGTTTCTACGAGGTTTAGAAGTTCTTTTAAGAAAAGAATGCTAAGTGCCTGCTTTAAATTTTAATTACATAATTTTTAAACGCATTCCGCTACTAATGTCTTACCACGACAAGATAAAACTTTAACAAACACAGAATCTCTAGAATATTTGTACTATTATATTCACATATTCACTTTGTAGCTCTGTGGTTCAGTTGAATGCATAGCCAATTTTAGTCACCAAATCCTAGGTTCTGATTGCAGCATTTACTTCAGCTCATAGCTTATAGGAACGAATCGTTCATGCCACTTTCTGTTGGCCCGCTGGGGTTCTTTGACAATTCTGGCAACTTCATCATTAATCATTACACAACGAATTAACACCCACAGAAAACAAAATTATTAGTAATTTAAGTCCAACTACTCCGAACTGCCTGCGCAGTTAAGGTCACTGCCTGTTAAAAGTTACGGGCACTATGATTTTCCGCATTTTTCTACAGTTTTATAATGACTTGCTCCATCATTTCAAATTAAAATTCATGCTATTATCAAAACACCACCTCCAATTCATAATCACTAATAGGATCTGTTTGGAAAAAACGGTCAATTTTACCACTCAGGAATGACACAATGGTGAAACAGGAGCACACAGTGTAATCAGAATGTTCAGAGTGCTACTTTGCTGAGCTACCCATTCTCTCATCAGGTCAATCATCTAGTTTTCAATATATCAACATACTAGTACTCACTAATTCCTATTTGACCCCCCCCCCCAACACCCATTCTTCTCAACTTCCAAGTCCTCTCATGTCAGTGATAACCAGAGCTATCCTGTCGGTCTATTTCATTGAAAGGTTGGTCATCCCGATTTGATTCATTGTCTTCCTCCTGCACTCAAAAGCAATAAGATTAGACTACTCAGGTATTCGCCTACTAACCCACTCTACTTTTCAAACTTTTAAGTCCACCTCCCCCTCCCCCACCCCCCTCCACACTCGGGAAAAATTAAGAGAGACGAGGACTGAGATAACAATTTCGCGTTTAATAGTACTCTGGCATTGGACTCTCATCACAACTGTGACATTACTTAATTGAGCACAACTCAATATAGCCTAACAAATTACCCAAACCAATCATTCCACAAAATGCACTCATAGTCAGAAACTAAACAAATTGCATTCAAATTCCACTGAATTCGAGTTCTACCACATCACATAGTGAAATCAACACCCTAGCGAATCCACACCTACGATGAAGCAGCTTACTTCTAACAGTCTCACTCTCTCTACATCAATTCCAACCTCAACTTATCAAGCACCACCCCTTCTCCCACTCCACGCTCACATCACCAACTCCACCACCTTTCCAATTAACACTCTTCCACTTCACATGGAATACTTGAGTCTGGGGCTTTGTCAATGAACAATAATATACAGTATGCCGACTACCTAATTAGACCGAATATAAACACGAGATCTACACCAATGCCCTCAATTCCTACTCAATCGTGAAGTTCTCATCTACCAAATGCCAACTCAATTTAAAGACTGTCCAGTCATTAGCAACCCACTTTGGCCTGACACGCAGGTCAACAAAACAGTGTCTGTAAGTCATTCTCCAAACACAGGTACATAATTACATTTTCAATACTCGCGAACGGATTCTCGTTAACAAAGTTAACTGTAAACGGACACGACCAAAACAAACGAAACTCGAATCGATGCAACTCAAACCATCTCTATCATAAATAATAGTTTCCACAAATGCCACATAGCCGAGAATAAGCACAATCACGAGAGACCAATCGTGGTAGTGATCTCATTCTGAAAACTGACAACTCCGAAAGCACCATGACAACTCTTGCCTTATAATGCAACAAACCTCAGATCCAATAAAATCGAAAGCAATCAAATAGCACAATTTGAACGACTGCTCTTTTTCTCCAATAAAACAAACACAATCTTATATAGCAACATCAAACTGATGAAACAGAGCACAAAACCTAGTAGTAAACAAATTATGACTTCTGATTAAATATACACTACACACAAATTTACACCTTGTAAGTACTTGTATCAAGATCCTGACCCTTGGGTAGATTCTTCTGTTGATCCACGGTTTGGTAAAGGAGGGATTCGGGATAGTTAAGGACTTCTTTCACACGGTTGCCTATCCTGATCTGAGCATCTTTGTTGTTCCAATTTGATGTCCACAAACTGATGCGAGACCCACGAGCTCTGGGTTGAAAAACAACACCGCATATTTCGCTCGAATCTTCATCTGTCTTCCAAGCGTTTCCAACAATCAGCATCAAGAGTTCTTCCCAATAACTATGGAAGTAAATAATAATTATAAATCAGTGGACAATATATATAACGAAGCTAAACACTACTGGCTCACAAGTTAACATCAGCATCGGGGAGAACTTGGATCAACCAGCGACCTCCATTTTCATTCATTGGATCTTCCCACATGGGTTTAATACCTCTCTTAAACACGTAGAGATCGGTGCCGTTAGGAATATCAGATGGGGCTAGAGTATGGACCATGGTTCTCCAAAAATGTTCAACCGTGTTGAAATCGGTAACTTTTTGCATACGTTGGGTCCAATCATTACCGACGTTGTAATTGAACACAAAGAAATCCCACCTGAGAAAGACGATGAGATTACATATTTAGCTAGACATCACATATTATACCTTTCACATGCATTAACAAATTGAAAGGAAAACGCAAATTTCACATAAAATAACAATAATAATTATGGAATTAAAAATTCGTCAACGCACGTGTCTTGGAGGTAATGGACTGTCGAATCGCCTTCATCCTTACAGTCGTTCGCCATCTCAACACAACTAACCCTAGCAAGTGAATCAACTGTCGGAGCTTTCCAAGAGATTTACTCAAACAAATTCACACATTATTTAGTCTATTCACGAGAGACTTGCTTTTTCGGTATTTTCTCAGTTTCTTTGTGGTCAGTATATAAAATTGTAAATGATTTAATTTTATTTATTTATTTGTATTTTCTTATTTGGGATATGTTCCACGAGATATTCCATTCATTTTATTAATTTTTAGGAAACATTTTATCTTTCTATATTTAACATCTGTAAATTTCTTTTAAATGTATTTAATTTAAGAAAAATTGGAAAATATTTGGTCATTATTTTAAGTGTCAACATAAATGAAATGAAATCTTTCAATTTTGCAGAAATTGGCACTTTAGAAATTCCAATGAGGAGTGTGGGATGGAATAATTTAATTCAATATGGAGAAGATAAAAGAGACAGAGGATAATTATATGCCATTGATGAATTACACCTTTTAATTTCCTCCTCACCATTTCAATATAATCTTAACTCAATACCATCATAAAATCACTATAGCTTGGTAACATTTAAACAGCAGAATTATTTCAATAAATCCGAAAGATTTCCTTTATCTTTGGAATATACGAACTAATAAAGGCGTTAGTCAACAGTTAGAAGTGATATTATATCTTTAATTTTTGATCCAGCACAAATTAAATCATTTTCATACCACATTGAACTCTTAGAACTCTCAATCCATTAAAGGTTTTAACACTGTTAGGGAAGCTCACTTTGGCTCACTTAAATGGGCAGATTCGTTCCATTTCTATTGACTTTTGCTTTCCACATTAAGCATTTCTTCGCCTAATCCCTCCTTTTATTATTCCCATTCCCATCTGATCTTGCCTCCAGCATATCACATCCCTTCTAAACTATTAAATATTCCATATTTAGGTTAGTTTACTAATAAAATCGCGCTGATTTTTAAGCACTTTCCCTTCGTCCACATAAGTTTAGTTTAATAGAAAGGTATTTGAATATCTCGTTCCTATATTTCTAAGTTTAATTTTTGCTTTTCTAAAAATTTTACAATTTGCACGTTTTAGCAGTATTTAAACTAGTGAAGAAAATTAGAGGAATTAAGTCTAGTTCTAATTTTGAAATAGAAGGTATCAAAAGCCTTTATCAGCTTGGTGTTGACTAAGTTGAGAAAAATCAATACTCCTACGATGACAACAATTAGCATTGAAAATAAAAAGTTGGAGTTGGGTTGCGGGTGAAAATGTTTGGTTCTGGATGGGTTAGATTGAGGCTTGACAGTAATCTTATGAGTGATTGATTTAGTTTAAGAATGAACCAAAACTCTAACCATCCATTACTAATCAACGCATCTTTTTTGGTTATTTTTTCATATATTTACCACTTTAAGGCAAACGTTTGAATGCAATTGTTCCGCGTTCTGAGGTAAAAATGTGATTGAGGAATTAGGCTTTCGAAAGCGAGGAAGCAAAACGTAGTGAGAAATGACAAGTGTAGTCTAAAAAGAAGCAAATTTAATTAAACTATCCCCAATGATGACTAATCAAAGTAAGGTTTGTCGCGAAATTTTGGACACTTTTTCTCTCCAATTTCTTTATTATTTATGGCAACTCCTAAACAATGAAAACAGAATGACCCGGCTTATTTTCCATTTGACCAATAAAGTTTTTAAATCTGGTAAGTGTTTACACCGAAATAAAGAAGAGCCACTTTGGAAAAATGATGCGGTAACAATAGAGTCATATTCAAAGCGAAAATATCATGATCACAGTAAGGTAGGGGGGGGGGGGCGTATTGAATTAATTTGCATAATCTACTTTATACAAATATGAATGGTTTGTCAGCAATTAACATTTGGCGTGTCACTGATGGCTGCATTATCGACCGATCTGCAAGTGTTGCGAGGATTGCACTCACAAATAAACAGCAAATTCCCACAAAGGTGAAGATTGGACTCTGAGCTAAAAGAGAAAAAAGATATATAACTAACAACCAATTTTTATTATTTAAAAGTCGAAGCTTTAACATAGACACCCCTAGCTATTCATAAAACTTATTAACCTTTCTACTAGTAGAAATTGAGCAATATGATATATTCAGTAATCGTGTTTAATTTTTAATGTAAAGGAATCTTCAATCACTGTCATTACGAAAATGAAAATGATCACTTTTATAAATGTTTTTATTGGGTCCATATATATGTTATTTCGTTTAAAAAAATGCATTCCTTTGATTTTATTTAAGGAAGACATTATATCATTCCAATGAACGCACATGTTTACTCTAAACGCTGTCTTATTTATCAGACGATGATAGTTTATTGTTTATTCGTCATGGAAACTGAAATCACAAACTTCTCAATTCATTTGTTTTACTATGAATTACCAAGGTAAATGGTGGCTGGGAATTTATAATACGTTAAGGTAACAAAGTGGGTCAGTGGATATGCTGATTATCAGGCTTCAAGTTGGTCGTTTCATATCAGCCTTGTACCTACACAGGCCTATTAGATCATTTCCCATCTTCCAACCAATTATGGAACATTCCTTAAGACCAAACTTTCTAAAATATTGTAACTTGGTCTCCCTATTTCAATCCTCTCTCCAACCACTCACTCACTCAGTACTGACACTTGCCCTTTTCCCATCAACCCCAATTCTTCATCACATTCCACTCCCATGTTCTTGCTTCCCATTTTGCTCAAAAAAGTTGATGTGAATTCAAAAGCTGATTGTCACGATCGTGAAATACCATTGCAAAAATCAAAAGATCTTGCGGAGAGATATATACAACCAAATCAAAGAGAAATAGTGTTACCTTAGCATCGTTTCAAGGAATCCTTTCAATGTCTAATTGGTAGTTATCGTTTTTGCCCATATTTTATGAATGAAATTTATTTAATAAAAAAAATGGCTCACTCCATTCGCAGTTGCCTTTCTGAAAGGGAGCCGTTGAGGCCCCGCATACCTCCTGCACCGGAATCGATCCCCAACCGGCAGGCCACACAAAGAGTCCCACAAGTAGGAGCAGATCTGAAAAAATAACGATTGCTATCATTATTATTATTATTATTATTATTATTATTATTATGACTTTAGAAATCAAACACATATTCTCCTGAAAAGATTACTGAAGAGGCAAAACCCACCAATTTGGCCCCATTTAATTTAAATTACATAATTTAAGAAAATTTTATTTTGAAGATTACAAAAGCAGAGATTTCCTTAGACCCAATAATCAAATAGTAATCAACTTCCCCTAAATTTCACTTAAATTCGTTGGGAAGACCTATCTTGCTTTGAGAACTGATGCGTGAATTTTTTGTTTAAAGAAATTGAAAGTGTTGTTGCCAAGAGTAACCAAAAAAGACTTTGCCTTAGCACTAGGCGCTGTGACAATGATGAGATTTAGGAAGAAGAGTTGTTCAAGGTCATGATCATGTCCTGCGGAACAAAGTATGAATAGTCTTTTGATGAAACCTGTCAAACCTCAAATATTACTAGCTGCCGCGTTTCTGGAATCCATGGTTACCAAAGTAAAAGAAACGCCTCAAGTTAGCATCAAACTCCGGCAAGATTTCATTCGCTTTGAGAATAAATCTCACAGTCCGCTTTTTAAGGAATAAATTTATAAGTCTAAATCTAAGTGTGGCATTCACTTCCATCTATTACCGAAATACCCTCTTCGAAACTTCGATAGCACAAATGGCAATGTATAGGCGTCGAATTAACAAAGTGCATTCATATAGTGGCCAAAAATAATGTCGGACGGATATTTAAAGCCAATGACCAAAATTTTGCCCATACCATTTGCAAACCTATTCTGATTTAGGATATTTTGGGTGTAAAAAAAGAAGAAAATGCGGCCTATTTTTGGGAGTTTGCTTTAGTACTTTCGAAATTCGAAGGTTTGTTATAAGAACTTAGAGAAGACTAAACACTTGCAACTGTCTAGTGCTATAAGGAAAGTATAGTAACTGTAATGCTTTTTTAATTCTTAAGGAATTTTGGCAGAGAGAATAAGCGAACAAACATTGCACAGATTTTGTTAAGAATAAACAGAATCGGAGGAGCAAATGTTTGCTACCAACTGCAACCACAAAAGTTATTTTTCATTAGGAAATAAACTATAATTCAAATGTATTTAAATAAGAATTTTGGCTCTCATTGTAACAGGACATTGTTTCGAATATTAAACCCGCAATATGCTGAACAAATTTCTACCTTAAAGAGTGCAAAGTACCTCGTTAACACGGTCATTTAATTAAAATTCATTTCAAATGAAGGTATTGAGCACATTTTATCCCGGAATAAGGCTAACGCCGAGAAGTCGAATACTGTTTTACACCATTTTAAATTTCGTACCCTGTTAAAGACCGTTTAAAACATACCGGCTGCAGTCAATCGAAAGTTCGATTTTATCGACGTGAATCTTGAAATTGCAATTTATTGTTTTCAATGGTTGCCACTCTGATGAGTGACTTAGAAAAATAAAGCAATAATTCAAACGATCCCACTAAATTATACGTCAGGAAAGATTTATTTAAATGTCAATTATTTTAGAAGGGAATTCATTTTTACCAAACGAATTTTCACAACAAAATTGACGGATTTTTCTCTAAGGTGTTTTAACTCCCTGAGTCCGTTTATTTTCTTTATCAAGACTTCCAAGGCACTCATCGACGTGTGTTGAAGTTTGAGGTAATTTTGAATAGCATGTATACAAAGGTGTTCAGATTCGCGCAATTTATTTTTCGCAGGATATTGCATTACTACTAGTGTAAGGTATCAATGCAACAATTGATTCGCATGAAATATTATGAAATAGATTGTTTTAATGGCTTTCAGTGCAACCACTATCGTTTAAAATATTTTCGTTTTAGCCTCCTTTTCATTTTAAAAGTGTCCACCAGTTAAAAAATTACCCTTCAAATTTGGAAAGGCGAAAATTTTAAGTTCATTTTTCTTAATTTTGGCTTAGTAAGTAGTTAAGGAATTGAAGGAACTGAATTAATGCTGCGATCAATTAACTAGTGCCTCTACAGTAGTTAATGAGGAAAATAATCTTCTAGTAGAATTGAACAGACACTCTGCTTCTTAAATTATGAAATGGAACATTGGCAAAAATTTTAGCACAAATTGAAAATTAAATCTTTGAAATAGCCAAATCAGACAAATTCAACCAAATCAAAATTTCTAAGAACTCGCTTTGAAATTTTTCATTATTCTATTGAGTCAACGTAATTGTAGATGTGAATTCAAGGAAAAAATCGATACTCATTCGGTCAGACTGCATAGTGATTTCTAAAGAGTTTTAATTAAAAATGGAGACAACGAGTGCAAATTTATAAAATAACTAATCAACAAATGAGTTCCTCACACGTATTCCTTTTTCTTTATTGTTTATCAGCACGCTGGTTCACCTTCACACAAGTCGGTTAAATTTCAAAACCTCTTCTACGCTGAAAGCATTGTCAAATAATTTACGTAAATTATTATCAGTAAAAAATTAAACTAAGTGCTAAAAAGTGAGATGGCTCTGAAAAAACGAGATTTTCACGAACGTCTAACCTCATTTGAATTCCGATTTCAATCAGTATTACTCTGGTTCTTGTTGCAATATTCTAAAGTTTACATTTCCTAATTGTTTTTTTTGGATGCTTAAAACAGTTTCATGTCCTCGATTTCAGTAGCGACCAATGGTGAGGAGGCATCAGACTTTTAACTCAAAAGCTGGGATGGTGTTTCTGTGAAGGGGTAGAACTCAGAAAGTAGGTGATATATAAATTTGAAAATAAGTAAGCGTTTTAAATCCTAGTGAATAAGTATTACATGCTCCTATGTTGAGAAGACAGTATGCTGGATAAAAAATCGATAAGTTTCCCATGTCAAATGATGAGGGATAAAGTCAATTCTGTCACCGTTTTGTCGATTTGTAGAATAAAATTCACCCCCACAATTGCATGCCAATTTTCGAAAACAGATTCAAGCATTTGCGAATTATTATTAAATTTTTCGTTCCTTGAATAATATATTTAAATTTTAAAATTATATTGCATATGCACATTTATACAATTAATCTCTTAAAACGCCAGATTTTATGAAAGTAATGTAAAGAGGTCTGGCAATAAGATGTGGACGTATTAAAATGAAAAAAATGAGTATTTTGGAAAGCACTGCACTTTAAAGGTAAATTATAGCGTTATCGTTTCACTATTAGATTAGACAGCAATAAACAGTATTCTCTAAACTTCACGTATAAAGCAATTGATGATTTTCAGCTTGCCAAGAAATTACCACTTTCGATAACGTTTGAAAATTTGTGCGTTCAAAATATGTCGCTTTTTTACGTATTTTCCAGAACACAACCGATCAATGTTAGAACAGAATTCGTTCCTCATTGACGTCCCTACTCATATCTTGGAATCAGAACGCCAAAGACAACATGTTCGAGTTAAATTTTACAGAATAATAGTTGATAATTTTCTCCAAATGCGTTAAAGGCAGTCATCTTTCAAAGTGTGTTAGACCTAACATAGGGTTTTTCGCTCGATACTTTAAATTGTTTGCGAATATCGATCCTAAACGTTAATCTGATTATTCTTTGCCTAATATCGTAGTAATAAAATAAACAAACAAATAACAGACAACTGTTGGTATTGGAAACTAATGCTCCCAGCAGTTGTAGAGAGTAAACACTTCTATTATGCGCGGAATTAGACGCGTGGGTTCCCATGACATCTGGCTCATGCCGGTGGAAGGCGTGAAAAAATGCCTTGGCAATTTGTCAAACTCCTTATCCTCCCTCCCCCCCTCT